AACCGTGACATGGCCACACCCCCTTCTAGTTTTCTCCAAAACATTTTTCTGACCAGATGAATGCAATAAGTCAAAGAGCCCTATTTTTTTTTTTAATTTTATTTTTTTTTTACTGCCTGAGTCTGGGATGTGGAACACACAGATCAATGAGCAATCTCTTGTTTTCAGGAAATCATGAGCCTCCAGCACAAATTATGTAAAGCACAGAGGGTCTGGCACCCAAGTTGCCCAAATGGAAGTTATAAAGCCATGAGCAAGGGCCCGAGTGTATGTATGAGAGATGTTAGGACATTTCAGAAAGCTGTAATTTAAGAGGTCTATTCAAAGATGCTTTTGAGCTGGGCGCCTGTGGCTCACCCTGTATTCCTAGCTACTCAGGAGGCTGAGATCTGAGCCAGAAGTAGAGCTGTGGCTCAAGTGGTACAGAGCCTAGCCTTGAGCAAAAAGATCTCAAGGGGTTGTGAATTAACTAAAAGTCTCCCAACTTTGTATCTGTGTCCTCTGATCTGAGCTATTCTCTGCCTTATTCTCTCTGAAATCACCTGGCTTATGGGCGAAAAGAGAAGATTCAGTGAGAAGCATTCTGTGTGTAAGGCAAACTGCCCCTCAAACAGGCATTGTCTTATTGAAGAAAGCAATCTAAAGCTCAGGAGATCACCCTGTTCCTGTTCTGTTTTAGTGCTAAAGTTCAAATCTTCAGCATTCCTCCAGGACAAAGACTGAGGTAATGGTCCACCAGCCCACACACCAGTGACCTGGGACTGTTTTCACTCTGTGTATATTTCTTATTTCTCCCTGCCTCCAGTTTTCCCTATTTAACCTGAAACCATTGTCTGCACTTCTGGAAATGGCTGAAGATGTACTGAAGTGTTATCTTCCCATGCCTGCCATGGAACAACCCTCCTTCTTCCGCCCTTCACCATGGTTCCTTATTTGGCATATAGGGGCGAGTGGCCTTACCTAACTTGACACTCTTGGACTTTGAGTTTTAGCAATACAGGTTAGGCAGCTCATCAAGTCTCAGTGTTCTCATAACATAACTCCCTCTTCCCTACCTCCCTGTGTAAAAACATAGGTTAAAAAGAAGGAGGAGTAATGGAAAGGTACTGAGACTAGCTTGGATAATTCCCATTATAAAAAGGGTATATCGTCATTCTGAAAAGGAAAAGAATAAACCCAGAGATGAAAAAGGATTTCAGAAAATTTGGTATGTACACAACAGAGTACTACCTGGCCTTCAAAAAGGACATTCTATCATATTCCTCAATATGGATGAACTTGAAGGGCACTCTGCCAGGTGACATAAGCCAGGCACAGAAAGAGAAATCCTGACTGATCTCATATGTGCAGCTAAAAATGTGGATTTCATAGAAGTTGGAGAGAATAAAGGTACATACCAGGGACTAGGTTTGGGAAATAGGATAAATCAGTATAAGGGTAGAAAGTTTTAATGAAATAGGAAGAATGCATTCTGAAGATCCATTTGTGCAACATGGTAACTACAATTAATAATCATCTCCATGCTTAAAAAAATCTAAGAAAGTAAGTCTTAAGAAAAAATACTAAAGGAGAAGGAGAATGTGCAGGAGGAGGAAGAGGAAGAGGAGGAGGAGAAGGAGGAAGTGGTTAGGCACTGTAATCCTAGTTATTCAGGAGGCTGAGATCTGAGAATTGTGGTTTAAAGCCAGCGTGGATGGGAAAGTTTGTGGGACGCTTATCTCCAATGAACCACTAAAGAAGCTAGAAGTACAGCTGTAGCTCAAGTGGTAAAGTGCCAGCCTTGAGAACAAAAGCTCAGGGACAGGGCCCAGGCCCTGAGTTCCAGCCGCAGGACTGGCCAAATTAAAAACAAAAAAAAGTAAATCTTAAAAAACATCCTGACTATAAAATTTATAAGTGTTTGAGGTGATGGGTGTTAATTACCTTGATCTATGCATGGATCCTAATACCACCTATCACACCATAAACACATACAAGATGCTCTCAGTTTCAACAGCAGAACTTATGGACCTGGAGAATTGAAACTGGGGACTTTCTGTTCCCATGGCTGCTCCTGACACTGCCCCATTCTCCTCTGAAGGTTCTGAGGAAGCATTCCCAGGCCTGATGAATTGGTAATGAGTTGTGATTAAGTACAACCGAATTCTAAGTCCTGTGTGCCTGAGAAATGTCTCCCACAGCATCAAAACTGCCAACAATAGCGACCCAAGGCTACTTCCATTACGAATTTGGACTTTGCTTTTTTTAAAAAAAAAAAAAAAGTTTCTATGATGGTTTGCTAGATAATGACCCACACATGAAGTGTTCTCCATGATTAACAATGGCATCTGTCCTCTGTACAGTGCCAAGAAGGGAAATGCAGGCTGACCACGGCCAGTCCAAAACAGAGTCCACTTCTAAAAACAGAATGCACTAGCTCACTCTGCAGGCTCTTCCATTGATGATGAGTGTGTGATGTCTTCTTTAAAAAAGCAATCCACTAAATACTTGTAGATCCTGGACTGCAGATTACTGGCTGACCTAAATACTACTGGCACTGCAAAGAGCCCTGCAGGGCCTAGGACTTGGACACACGATGAAGGTCTTCAGTGAAGATGAATTTTGAAAAAGCCGAGATAAGCAGACTAATTTCCTACCAAAGCATTTTCTTCTGATCTTGGAAATGTTAAAAGGGCCACCTGAGTGGATTATTTTGAGCAAGGAAAACTCAATGGCCAGTGTAAACAACTAACCAACCCCAGTCCCTCCAACATACCGCTTGAAGCTTTCTAGGCTCTAGCTAGCAAGCAGGGCTGCAGGAGACTGTACTTCCTGTGTACAGTGTACTGGTTTCTCACATATCTGGTCAAGGGACTGTGACGATGGAAAAGGAGAATACACAAACACCATGTAGCCATGTGCCTGGCTGGAATGACCATCACTATTAGGTTGGGCCCATTTTTCAATCCAGTCAGAGAATGAAGGAACAGAAAATAACTGTTTTTCTTCATTCATGGTTTCACTCTGGTTTTGGTTTGGTTTCTTTTCTGCCAGTACTTGGGCTTGAACTCAAGGGCTCACACTCTCTCCCAACTGATGCTCTACTGCTTAAGCCACACCTCTACCTCCTCCTTTTTTGTATTATAATTTTTTTGTTGATGATATCCAGTGTAACATTTGAATGTAAGTGTATATTGGGGAATAGCTAAGTGAGGTCATTTAACAAGCATTACTGCATATATGTGCTATTTTTCTGTGGTGAAACCACCTAAAAATCTACTTTCTTAACATACCTGAATAACAGACATTGCTCACTGTTTTACTGGTTAATTGGAGTTAAGAGTCTCTTGGATTAATAAACCTGGTGGCTCTGAACCACAATTCTCAGATCTCAGTCTCCTAGGATTACAGGAATGAGCCACCAACACCTGGTTCACTGTTTCATTTTGAACCAGAATATTTCTTTCTTTTCTTTTCTTCTTCTTCTTCTTCTTCTTCCTCTTCCTCTTCCTCTTCTTCTTCTTCTTCTTTTTTTTTTTTTTTTTTTGTTAGTTCTAGGGCTTGAACTCTGGGCCTGGACACTGGCCCTGAGCTCTTCAGTTAAAGGCTAGTGCTCTACCACTTGAGCCATAGCACCACTTCTGGTGTTCCAGAGATTAAATGGAGATAAGAGTCTCACGGATGTTCCTGCCCGGGCTGGCTTTGAATCACAATCCTCAGATCTCAGCCTCCAGAGTAGCTAGGATTACAGGTGTGAACCACCGGTGCCTGGCTGAATATTTCTTTTTTAAAAAAATCATTGTTGTGTTAGAGGTGATATACAGTGGGATTACCTTTATATATGTCAGGTAGTACGCACATTCCCTTCTGTTTGCATCCTGTCATCTGTTCCCTCCTCCCCTCCCCTTCTCTCCCGCCCATCTCTGTCCTCGGGTTGTGAGGTTCATTGCATCAACGTCTACTGCAGCCAGGGGAATCCACTGCTGTACTTTTTCACCCATGTTCCACTGATTCTGTGCCCGCCCGCCATCTTCCCTCAGATGTCTATATATCTGGCAAAAAATACAGAGCCATCTGAAAATAAAAAGACAAAGTAAGAAAAGGTTCTTTGTTTCCTTATCTTTCATTTCGGTCTGGGTATTACAACTTGGAGATTTTCTCCAAGACTATCCTCTTTGTGGACCAGAATATTTCTAAGTATCTCAGAAGCATTGCCATGAAACAGTTTACTTGACAGTTCATGTTTCTTTGAATCAAATATTTACAACATTTTGTTAGCAACAAAGCAATAGGCAAGTGAAGGTAATGTCTAAAATATTTATTATTCCTAAGAGAGTCAGTGTGTTTACACTGAACATGAAGTATCATTTTTGAAAGAAGAAAACAAGAGCCCAAGAGTAAGGGAATGCACACAGTATACATGAAGGAGATCTACCAGATCCCTGCACTGATGTCACGTTTGATGACCAGGAAATGACTCTAAGCTCTCCTGAGAGCACACACTCATACAACAGGAAAGAGATGACTATGTGAAATACTGACTGTTTCTGCATACATCACCGCAACACAGGTATTATTAGCACTACAGAGAAACTGAGTCAATAAGGAACACTGGGACTTACAACTAGATAGCAGCAAAGTGCCAGCCCTTCCCAACACCCTGGAAAGCAGTGTCTTCAACATGCTTGCTACTGAAAAAAACATCACGTGGCACTGGTAGCTCACGCCTGTAACCCTAGCTACTCAAGAGGCTGAGATCTGAGGATCACAGTACAAAGCCAACCTGGGCAGAAAAGACCATGCGATTCTTATCTCCAAGTAACCACCAGAAAACCAGAAGTGGCTCTGTGACTCAATGTGGTAGAGTGCTCGCCTTGAATGGAAAAGCTCAGGGACAGTGCCTAGGCCCTATAACTGACAAAAATAAAATAAAAAAATCGCCTTTTCTAGTTTTTCTGCTATTAAGTAGTTATGTCACTGTGAAACTTCTAGAGAAAGAAAAGTGTCCCAAGACCACATACCTGTGGTAGAGTCAATGGTGAAAAGGTCTGATAGGTCCCCCGGAATAAGTTCATAAGCCACTGTTCCGTACACCCCAGAGTCCCTGTCCCTGGCGAGGACGGAGATGACCTCGGTGCCCGGCTGTGTCTCCCCGCTGATGCTCGTCACATAGGTGGATGGGGTAAACACAGGCCGGTTATCATTCACGTCCTCCAGCTCCACGCGGACAAAAGCTTGGGCACTCAGCCCACCCTGGGGAGGAATGAACGGTGATTACAAACAGGTCTCTGCTGCACCTTGGAAGACGAAAGCATCAACAATGATCTGACAATTGACTTTTGAAACAACAAAAACATGTACATGTATAAACACTGGGATACAGAATAATCAACAGTGATCTTAAAATAGACTTTAGAAGCAATAAAACACACACACACACACACACACACACACACGCATGCACACATGCACGCATGTCATCATTTCGCTTCTAACCCTGCAGCATTAGTTCCCAGGTAATAGTATTCTATCTATACCTCAGTGCTGATCCTGAAAGGTGAAAGAAAGCTGGGCATGGTAGCATATACCTATGATCGCAGAACACAGGAAGCTGAGGCAGGGAGATGACAAGTTCCAGATGAGAGTGAGAAACATAGCAAGTCAAGTCGTGTCTCAGAAAAACAAAAACCCCCTCTATATTTCCTCAGCCTCTGATGGTCAGAAAAACAGTCCTGGTATATAAGAACCAGCCATCATTGGTGGAAGGGGCCACGGGACATTGGTGACTTACCAACAGAAATGTCTTGAGTAGCAGCAACAGTGCTAAACTAGACAGAGGTGAGCCACATCCAATCAGAATGCACCTGAACTTTCTCAAAAACTTTGAACATATCTGACATCAGTTAAGATAAGGTCCAGCTGTCCGGGGCTGGTGTAAGATGTTCAGCTGCCTGTCATAACATTCTATCTTCACGAGGCTTAGGATGAGGTGACATCCAAGACGGTGGCAGTGTCAAGTCATATCCCTATAGCCATTCCTTCTGGACTCTGGAATCCTCTTTCAAAGGAGCAGGCTGAGAAGCCAGTATTCCTCAGGACAGCATGAGTAGAGCAGACCTAAACCCATTTACTTCATTCTCATATAGCATCCACTGTCCAAGGCTGTGCTACCTTAGAAACTATCCTGATAATGTAGCTCATGAGCAGCCTTGGGGCAAAATTGCTTAACTGAGCTGCTTCCAGCGTCCTGGCCCTTAGAAATCATGTGAGATAACAAACATTTGCTATTTTATTTTATTACTGTTTTTTTTTGGGGGGGTCCGGTCGTGGGGCCTGAACTCTGGGCCTGTGCACTATCAGCTCTTCAGCTCAAGGCTAGCGCTCTACCACTTGAGCCACAGCGTCACTCCGGCTTTTTTTTTTTCTTATGTGGTGCTGAGGAATTGAACCCAGGACCTCATGCATGCAAGGCAAGCGCTCTACCACTGAGCCACCTTCTCAGTCCCACATTTGCTATTTTATGCTGCTAAATTTAAGGATAATTTGTTACACAGCAACAAGTAACTCATACATCCTAAAAATCCATCCATGCATGGGTATTTCTTAATTCTGTTGTTCTCTTTCCATCAACGAGTCAGGCACTACTCTGATGTAGTCTTAATCATTTCCATTTTCAAAATTATGGTAAGAATTCCTAAGCCAACTACTTAACACTCCAATCTCCTCAATTTATTCTGTGAAGGGTGGACTGTGCTTTCAGAAAGCTCTGAACTTAACAGCATATCAGAGACAGAAGGTTACTTAGGACAGTTGGCAGATAAGGAAAATTCTGGGCTGTTATTTTCTATTTCTCTTTGTTCTTGCCTTTGGGAACTCGTGGATAGAGGAATATTACTATCAGCCCTTCATACCTTAGCTCTGATGAGCTTGGCAGTGGACTTTCAGCTCTGGTGAGCTAAGAGGTCTAACTTACACCAACAAAGGTGAAGAGAAACAACTTAGGGCCAGCCCTATTAAAGAAACACAGCATGTTAAGTCTCTCCAAAGCCACACAAAGCAACCTTTCAAGACTCCTCCCAGATTCACTGAGAAGCTGAATAAGATGAAAATAAATACATCACTAATTCCAGACTATGGCATAGTTCTGGCCATGCTGATGAGGCACTGTTGCTGGAGAGGTTAAGGGAGGGAAACATGCATCAAAAGAATTCAAAAGGTGAGAAACTCTGTTTCTGTTTTTTGTTCAGATGATTTGCTTTGAAAGAAATAAAAGAGACAAAACGGATTTTCAAAAAGTATGTGAAATCAAAAGGAGTCTGATTTTTAAAACAGAGGCTATTGTTATGCTGTATAGGCCCGTGAGAGTCATACAGGAGAATGTGAGAAATTAATGATGTAAGAAAAACAATCAAATCATTCCAGACCTGAGATCCTTGAGCAGCTCAAGTGGATGGGTGCCTGAACCCCTGAACTGTGGAGGAATTTGCTTCTGATGCAAACAGAGCTGTGGGAAATACAGTAATGGGTATGGTCGTGGAAAAGCAGGCTAGCTGGTGAGCAGGAAGTTGCAGGTTCTTGGTGGCCGGCAGGAAAGAAGGTCCTCTCTTAAGCAGATGTGTTCTTTTTCTTCAGGCACCATCAGCTGCTCAGCTGGGAGTATAGAAGAGGCTAAGCCTCTGGGAATTAGACAGAGCCCAAGTTTAGACAGACAGTTTGCCATCGAATGACTTGAATGGTGAGTAATGGGTCAGGGATGGTCACACAGGGGGAGAATTACCGACTAGAGCAAAAGTGCAACCTGAAGATAAACATGCTTTTCAGGAGGCAACGGGCTTGAAAGCAAGATTTTAGAACTTGTATGATTACTGCTGATGAGCCTTAAACATGAGAAAGTCACGGTGGTTATAGATACTGAACTTTTCATAATGACAGGACACAGGGGTTGCTACAGTGTGGCCAGCCCAGACAGAAAGGTCCCATTGAGACTCTTAACTCCAATTATCCTCCAGAAAACCTGAAGTGGCGCTGTGGCTCAAAGTGGCAGAGTGCTAGCCTTGAGCAAAAGAGCTCAGAGACAGTGAGTGCCCGGGCCATGAGTTCAAGCCCTATGATTGACCACCTCCCACCCCCAAAAAATTAAGTAATGAAGTAAAGTGGTGTTTAAGACACCTCAGAATAAATCCCTATAATATATGCGAGACTATAGTCCAGACAATTTAACTAGAAAACAAGAGGCCAATGGGTGGTGAATGAACAGAAAGAGAAATGTAAACACTGGAACACTTTTTGGAAAATAGAATAACAAGTGATTTCAATTTAAATGAACTTGCCCTTCTCCACTGCGAGTTTGCTCTTGGGGTTCATCTGTATGGTACATGCACTATTAGCATGACTTCAATGAAGCTTTTATCATGAATATACACAGTGGTGACAAGTCTGACCAAATCCTTCCCTTAACCTCCAGGGAAGAGATGGATTGAAATCATTTTAGCTTAGACACGTATTTCAGCTACAGAATTCAGGATATAACAAAACAAATGAGGGGTAATAAAAAAATATACCCCCAAAATAACAACTCCCTCTTAGAAAATGATGGGGAAAGGAAATTTTAAAAATTAGGTACAAGGAGGGGATAAATTAAACCATAGAGCTTTACTGTGGAAAAAACAACAGTGTAATCCTATTATTTGGCTCCACTATGTAAGTGAATAGCATTTCATCTCAGTTGTGATAAATAGCAGCAGCTGTAATAGCAAAAGTGAAATATTGAGAAGTAATTTCAATAGAGTGGGAAAGTGATTGAGTTTTAAAAGCAATATATCGACTACCACCACAAGGAGAAATAGAGTAGTGGCAAAGAAGCCCAGAATACTGAAGGTGTTTTAGAAGGAAAATGCTTCTACTGACAGATAAAAATCCCTTACAAATCAATGATAAATGGGTTCACAGAAAATTTCTTACGAAGGACCTACAGGACATTTATTAGAAAGAGAAAGGATCTGAGAAGATGCCATAGATTGTCAAAGAGATTATTAAAAAGTTCAAGGACTTCCGTCAAGGTTCAGTTTATTCTTTAAAATATGTTCATTAAGGCCTGAATTCCAACAGCCAAGAATTAAATTGTCTGACTTCATGTACTCTTCGGGTGCAGTTGAGATTGGTTTTAGAGGCAGACTGCTGCACCATTATCAATTGTTTCTCTTTTGATGCTGTCTCTCTGATGGATGTACACTGTAGGACATATCTCACACAGAATAATTGGGGCAGATTCAGAGGTTACCCTGTTGAAACTCACATTTATCACAAAAGAATTTCAAGAAGATTATGCAGGAATACTGCATGCTGGGTAACTTGCTCTATATATGCATATGTATGTATACTTATATGTACATATATATTGTATATGTATGTAGACAAATACACAATTGCACATATGCACATATCCAAGCAGGGTGAAGGAAGCTTTTAGAGCCTTTGTTGGAGAGAAGGGGAAGATTCTTCTAGAACTCGTTTTAAGAATACATCTCTCCCTTACACCAGGCACTGCTACAAGGAGGGTCCTGTTCCTTTCCTGGGCTCCTCTATGATCATCTCCCTGGGTCAAAAGGCAGCCAAGGTGGAGACGGTAACTGAGCACCTGAGGACAAAGAGGCCTTGAAGCACTGTTAGCTCACAGGAGATGCTAAGAAGACTTTCACCGAATGCGGCCTAGGTTCATCCTGGGAAGAATGAGGAATCAGTCCTTCTAGGAGGTAAATTGCTTGCTTGTGCAACAAGCTGCTCACTTGCAATATCAGAAATGACACCTGGTCTAAGGTGGAAATGTAAATGGAAGAACAAAATTGGAGACTCGCCATTCTGCAGCCCCTAAGGAACAATGAGAACTCCTAACACTTCCTAAACAAACCTGGAACTAATCAGGTATGCTCTCTAAATGCCAGCTTGTAGAAAACAGTGGAGAGAAAAGAACAAATTAAACAAATCCCCCAAAATACACACTCAGCATGTGGAAAATTTACATGACAAATGACCCGATTTCTGCACAAAAATAACATCACAGGAGAAAAGGTAAGGGGAGGAATAATAGTTACAGGTTGACAGGTAAGGGCTAGATCAATCATTACTTTATGAACTTAATTGAATGTCGATTCAAAACACCAACTATTAAAAGATGTGCTTAGTTAATCTCCAAATTTTTAACATAGAATAGATATTAGAGGTTATCAAGAAATGGCTATCTGTATATGGTAAGTATTATTTAATAATGGATGAAATGAAACAGTGCCTGGTATTTGCTCCAGCAAAGGAGCAGTAGCTGGTACATGATGCATGCTTAACTGGTTGCTGAGTATCGTTGGGTAGGTGTTCTGATGGGCACGTGTGACACTTCATCCCCAAAGACTTACCCCATCCTTTGCTTTCACCAGCAGATCAAAGGTGTCTGGATCTTGTTCCCTGTCGATGTCTTGAGACACACAGATTCGCCCATCGTGTGGGTCAATCTGGAATGCTGGAGGGGCCTCGGCGCTTTGGAAGCCATTATAAAGAGAATACTCGACTAAGCCATACAGCCCTGCATCTGCATCCGACGCTTTTACCTAGGAGAAAGGAAATGGATTCATAAATGATCAGGAAGTAAACTAGAAATGTTTCTTTTACTTTTCAGTTGGTCATGAATTACCACAGTGATCTGTCCAACCAAGTCACACACAGCTACTCACAAAGTACAGGCTTTGGTTCTTTCCCTTCCCCTCCTCCCCTCCCCCCACCCCTCTCTCTAACACATATTCTACAAAGGAACAAGTCACATCCCAGGAAATAAGGCAGAATGAACAGTGCAAGATTTTCATCTCTAAGAACAGATTCAAAACAGGTTTATTTCTAGAATTTTTCACTAATATTTTTCAGACCAGAGCAGGCTGCAGGTTAATGCAACCAAAGAAAAAATAAAGAAAAAATAAAGCACAGTGAAAAATATCATAGGCTAGAGAGACGTCTAAAACTTCCATGTCATAGGCTCAGTATAATTCTTTTGATTTACAGCCCACTTAATAGTAACAGCAAATATATATATATATATATATATATATATATATATATATAAAACACTTCAGGTAAGAGATAGGAGCACTCCAAGGAAAGAGAAAGAGACAAAGAGAAATGGAGAGAGGTAGGAAGAGGGAAGAAAGGGGGGAAAAGGGAAGGAAGAAGGAAGAGAAGAAAGACTGGAGGGAGGAGGAAAAAGGAACTAAGCTTGCTACTCAATTATCCCCTTTCTCCTCCACCCCTAAAAATGACAGCCCAAATGAATGGGACAAGTCAGGAGGACTTGTCCTTTGAAGTATTACAAACTAAACAATTCAAACAGTGTGATCTAAAAAAAGAATTTGGCAGGCAGAACAAGAGAGCACAAAAGAAAGACCTGCAACAGATTGTGGTAAATATAAATGTTTTGTAGATGACAAAGGAAACCACTGGAGACTTGGGGTTTATCCACAGAAGTTGCTAGAAAAAAAACTGGCAAAATGCATGGAGGAAAAATCAAGTTTGATATTATCCTCACATTAAAATAAATTCTACACAGACATGTCAAATGTAAATAATGAAATCATTTAAAGCACAAATATATATTTTGCTGCTCCTTACACTGGAAAGATATTTGAAGGCGAACAGGCATTTTAAAGTAAAAGAATTGACAAAATCAATCACACAGTGACTATAAAACTGTGTAATAATGCCATATATTATGTATCTATATTTTTATATAAGACATATATTTATGTATGTATGATTACATATAAATATAAAAAGATATGTATCTTTAGAAATTAAAATGATACTGGTTTCCCAATCAAAAATATCCCCGAGCCACGCGCCAGTGGCTCACGCCTGTAATCCTAGCTACTCAGGAGGCTGAGATCTAAGGATCATGGTTCAAAGCCAGCCAGGGCAGGAAAGTCCGTGAAACTCTAATCTCCAATAAACTACTAGAAAACCGGAAGTGGCGCTGTGGCTCAAGGTGTAGAGTGTTCGCCTTGAGCTGAAGAGCGCAGGGACAGCGCCCAGGCCCAGAGTTCAAGCCCCAGGACTGATAAAAAAAAAAAAAATCCCCAAGGACATATAAACAGACAATTCACAGAATGATAAATTTTAGATATTCAACTTCAATAGTAATCAAATTAATGAAAGAGAAAATGGCATGTTTTGGCCTGGCAATTGGCAACCATTAAAATAAATAGCAAATGTTGCAAAAGGTGTACAAGATGCATTCCTTTTTTATAGTCCATGTAGCACTAATTTTTTTATCATATACATATGTTAAATAATCACCCATATCTAAAAATATTCATCTCCTTTGACTCTGCATTTCTACAAGTATATGTAAGAAGAAATATATTTGTGTAAAAGACATAATATAGCACAGCACTGATTGTTCGATGTCAAATACCACTGGTATTAAACAAATTATAATTCATCCATGAGATATAATTCAAGGTAGCCACAAAAACTTTATAATTAAAGACACAACACAATAAAATGTCAAGAGGGCCAGGAGCAGGGCTGTTGGGGTTGCTCAGTGGTAGAGAGCTTGCCTTGCATGCATGAGGTCCTGAGTTCAATTCCTCAGCACCACATACACAGAAAAAGCCAGAAGTGGAGCTGTGGCTCAAGTGGTAGAGTGCTAGCCTTGAGCTGAAGAGCTGAGGGACAGCGCCCAGGCCCAGAGTTCAGGCCCCACGACCAACCAAAAAAAGAAGGGGGCAGGAACAATTGCCATGTATATAATTCCAGGTACTTGGGATGTAACTTTGAGACTAGCCTGAGCAAAGAGCTATCCTTACAGATAAGCTGGGTGAGGTAGCACAAACACAAAACCCACTGTGCTGGAGGCCATAGGTAGGAAGAGCCTCATCTGAGGCTGGCCCTGGGGAAAAGTTCAGGTCCTGATTGACAGATAAACTAGAAGCAAAAAGGGCCAGGAACGTGGCTTAAGTGGTAGGAACACTTCCTCAGCAGCTGTGAGGCCCTGGATTCAATCCCCAATGTTAAACAAAAACAGCCAAGTAAAAATTAAATATAAAATGTTCCACTTATGCCAGAAAATGCACTGGATACAATAAAAGATTGAAGAAAGGCTAAATGTTAATTGATCAAATGTGAAAAATAACCATTTTAATGTCTTTATTCCAGTAATCTTTCCATATATATATATATGCATATATATAATGAGATCATATAGATACCATCTACAGAAAAAGTATTGCAAAAGAAGCTAGGGCATTAAAACCTCTGAATCCAAAAGTAAATTGGCCATTAACAGGCATCCGCCATCCATTCATTCAACTACTAGAGTGTCTTCCTGACACACTTCCTGACACACCAACTCTTGCAAGCTCACTGTAATGAGTGAGTTTGGGAGCCGCAGGTGCCCCAGCATTCCTCATTTCGTTTCTCTGAAGTGCGGGATATGGAATCCAGGACTTCACAAGAGTGTGGTACGTGCTCTGCCACTGAGCTAGAGCCAGCAGCTACAGCACTGTTCTTTGTAAGCCAGGAGTGGACACAACATTTACAGTCAGGACCAGTGGGACCACTTTAGCTTTCGTAGGCCACACAATCTCTGCTCAACTCTACCTTTTGAGTATGAACGAGTAATGACAACTGTAAATGAATAGCTATGTTCCAATAAATATTTGATTTATAAGGATCAAAGATCTGAATTTCAGCATAACTTTAACTTCTTAGGAAAAATTTCTTCTCTCTTTTTTGCACCATAAAAAATAAATGCAAAGACAAAATAACACAAAAATAGGAAGCTGGTTGATCTGACCCAAGCACCAGAGTTTGCCAAGATCTGATCTAAAGCAGAGGAATAAGTCTTTAGAAAATCAGAGTCAAGCCAGATTCATGCCTATAATTCCCAGCAATTTAGGATGTGGAGAACCAGAGGACTGAGATTTGAGGCCAATGTGCGCATAAAGTTAGCAAGACCCTATCTCAACCAATAAGCCAGTCGTGGTGATCACACATCTGTCATCCAGTTTAAGCAGGACACACTGCTGTGTGTAACCATTTGAGGCCAGTCTTCAGCAAATATGCAAAACTCTGACTATAAAATAAGGAAAGCAAAAAGGCTTGAGGGTGTGGCTCAAGTAACAGAGCTCCATCTTAGCAACTATGAGGCCCTGAATTCAAACCCTAGTATGGGCGAGCGGGGAGGGGGGAAGAGGAGACATGTATCCAAAACTGAATTTGGATTGAAATTAATCTAAATTTATCACAGATATTCACAATGTCTGATACCATAAATCCTTTAATGACAGCTATGTTCAAAAAGAGGATTTGAGCTACATATTCCTCCAAAGTTTTTTATTTCTCTGAAGCTCTAGTAAAAAAAACTCACTGGCCAGCATGAAACATTTGTAGGAGATCTGGCAGAAGGAGGAGACTTATAAAAGCTGACAGTCCATTTTATTCATTCTTCTTACCTAAGATTTCACCATGGGATTTATATGAGGTACACAAGGGAGCTTTCAAATTTCAGAGTGAAAAATCTCCTTTCTCTCTCTGCCTTCTCTGTTTCAGTAAATTTCTCCAGCTTCGTAATTTAAACCTAAGGCAGCCCTGACTCCACAGGTACAGCACCAGCCTCTCCCAGGACTTCAGAGTTCCATCTGGAAGGATCTCCTTCACGCAAATACCCATTTGGCAGGTTCCATGGACCATGGTCAAAACATCTTGTGAGTCTTCCCATTTCCTGCATAAAACCAGTTACCCAGCCAGTCACCAGTGGCTCAAGCCTAAAATCCTAGCCACTCAGGAGGCTGAGATCTGAAGATTACCATTGAAACCAGCCTAAGCAGGAACTCCAATTAACTACCAAAAAGCAGGAAGTGGGGCTATGCCTCAAAAGCATTAGCTTTGAGCAAAAAAGCTCAGGGACAGAGTCCAATCCCTAAGTTCAAGCCCCAGGACACACGCACACACACACACACACACACACACACACACACACACACACACACAACCTTAGTGTTCCTTCATTCCTCCTGAATTCAATGGCTCCTCCACCTACCCTGAGGCTTCAGTAGAAAGACAGTGACTCTTCTGTTCTTTCTCCTAACTCAGAAAACCAGACTGTCTGAACATCTGTAAACAAGCTAATCCTCCCAGCTACAAAGTAAGAGATGGTTACGGACAAACACATTTAAAATAATAAACTCTGATCTATACATTTTATAGTATTTTTCAGATTAGGCAAGATGGTAAAGATTGCTTAAGTCCAGTATTGATTATAAAAGCTTTTTTTTTTTTTCAATAAAGCCTAGAAACAACAAAATCAGGTCCATCAAAATAAAAAGTGATCTAATTGCACAGCCATACAGTGAAATATAACGCATTTGCCTGTGATGGTTTGATTGTATAATCTCAGTGCTTGGGAGACAAAAATCAGGAGGATTGAGAGTTCAAGAACTATCTGGACTACAGAATGAGTCTGTATCTTTAAAAAGAAAAGAATAAAAAGAACAAAGCAGATCTTTACAGACATACATAGAAAAATGACCAGGATATAGTATCTACAACAAACATCAAACAG